TTTTGTTGTGCTAGCATTATGCCCATTTAACGAGCAAGTGGCCAATAGAAACATGTCAAACAGGATAGAATTCAATTACCCAATATTATGACCACTATGACCAAAAAAAAAAAAAAAAACCCAACAACAACAACAACACATACACACAATTAAAATGATTCAGAACTAAGAAACTGATTTATCCAACACAGGTCAACACAATAAACAATAAATCTCATAGGTAATAAGGACCAAACTTAGAGAGCCAACCAGCTTTTTCCTCAAGCTAACATATAAACTTTTCTACCTTACCTATTTCATTGATCCAAGTACAGCAGAAAGTATTAATAATGGCATAAATACCCCCATGACTAGTGAACAAGAAATCTTGAACAACATGATTGTCCAACACTACAGTTTATGACAAGATGGAACTGTATTTCCTCTGGGGTAGAGGTGGCATCGTTTATCATTTCTGCCCGCATTAGTGATACGTGTCTTACAGTGTTGCATTTACATGATTCTTATCGTTGGAAATTGCTTTGATTGCTTGCATAAACAATAAATCGGTAACTTCCTTACGTGGAATACCTGAATAATCAAGGGCGACCTCATTTGGGAGCTAGTATCTGACTTGAAATTTCCAGCCTTGATGAATTCCCATTCCCCTTGCATTACCATCAAACACTGGAACATCCTGCTTTTTGCTACTTTCCTGCCCCTATCAGAAGAAGGGGCTCTCACAATTTTCTTACCTTCTTTGGAGCCTTGGCAATTAGGGCATATATGTATAGATAAGATTTGCAATAATATTCCTAAAAAGTGCATGAGTGTGTGTCTCAGGCAAGCAAGACTAGCCATCTGGCTACAAAGGAAATAGTATCTGGTAGGAATACACGGGGTCAAGAAAATAAGAAATTGTTCATGACATGAGGTTACAGTCAAGGCCTATCGTGAGTTGGGTTACACATATGAACCTCTATTATTCTCTCCCAGATGGCTAATAAATTCAATCATCATCATATAAAGTTTGTTGAATTCAAATTTGTAATTACATAGAATCTAATTAATAGATTGTAATATTCAGTTCTTTTTTGTGAGAGACACTAGTGAAATCACAGCTTAATTTGTTTAAGAACATTTGTGCATGTAAGTGCAAGTGGAAATGTGATCGGATGTCATTCCTTATGATCTTATTGAGACTAGAATTTTCCAAAGGATTTTTATCATGGTGGTCTGATAAGGGATGAAATATTCAGTATTCTGTAAGCTACTATTTGGGATAATTTGAGATGTATTAGAACATGATTATGCTTTGATCTAACAATTCTAACACGAATAAAATAAAAGATAAAAAGGTATCACCATTGTAGGTGGGCAACAAGGTATCTAAAGAAAATGAGAAGAATCATTATAATTAAGTGAAAAACAAAACAGGAATTAGACAAAGGTCTTAATCCAACATCTTGGGCAGAAACTGTGTGCTATTTGAGTTCATCACTTTGTTCTGAAGGTCTTGAATCAGCTTTCTACTTTGAAGATCAGCTGCTTCTAGAGAAGCTCTGAGAATCCTCAGCTTGAGATCTCTTATTTGAGTAGGATTCTAATTTTGTTGATTCTGAATTGACTTTTTAGTTAAGAAATGTGAACCCAGGGTTTTATTCCAGAGAATTTTACTTCCATATCTGTTGTAAACAGTATCTGATAAGGCCCATTTTAAACAATTTTAAGAGCAGTTTTTCTCTGATATATCTTCCAATAGATGAAATATTATAGTTGAAGAGGCTATTTAACAAGACGTTTTGGGAACATGACCTTAACTAGTTGGTAATAGGACTGGGTGTAGTATATGAGCCTCTTGCAATATTTTGCCATGTACACATGCAGCAGGGAAGAGTAGGGCACCATAGGTAAAATCCTGAAACACATAGACCTTTCAGTTACCAGTTCATAGAGGAAGAAAAAAAATGTGTCCCCATGGGAATGGATCATACAATCACAATGACAGGTGGGAGTACTATTGATGAAGGAAGCGTAAGTATTTTTGAAAATTTTGTTAATTTTATTTTAAGGATGTCATTGATTCTTTCTATCTTTCCAGAAGGATGTAGGTGGTAAGGGCAACATGGTTTCTCAATAAGGGATAATGCTATTTTTGTGTTTCTTGTGAAGTATGTACCTTGGTCCTTTGATATAAAGTTTGTATTTCCAAAGTTGGAAACACAAAATCAAGCTTTTATTCTTTTCCTTTTTATCCTCTTCATTTTTTTTTTTTACAACTGTAAAGATTATAGCTTTTTAGCAAGGAGACGTTTTAACCAATTCTGAGAAGAAACATATCATATCTATGCATATTTAAATCTAATGGAGGGTGGAAGCTGTATGAAATTCACTGGGAGGTAATCAAAAGACCCTTGAAGCTTAGGTTTCTAATCATATCTCATTTTTACAGTTTTCCAGAATTATGTGGTTGACAAGTGACACATGACACAAAAATGGCCTCAATTATCTTTCTAAAGTTTCTCCAGCCACATTGATTTAAGATAGCACCCACTGTATCTGTACCACGATGAATAATTTTATGAAGAAATTTGACTAGTATGCATTTGAAGTTGCCTGGTTACCATCAATAGAACCAGAGATTTTCTGAATGAAGCTAGAATCATATTTTCCCCATTTTTATGTTCAGAATTAGGAGCTAAGTGTTGATATTTGATAATAGTGTCTTTGAATTAATCCAGGGATTTATTCTTTAAAAATTTAAATAGGATCATAACCTTGGTTAAGGCGGTTTGTTTGGCAAAATAATCTACTAGAAAATTTTCCTTAGCTTCTGTATTATGTATAGTTTCAAAAACCTCAATCTTTGCAATAACTATCTCCTTATGAAGCAGGAATACATTTGAAAGTGTCTGAGGCTGGGCTCGGTGGCTCAGTGTGTAATCCTAGCACTTTGGGAGGCCCAGACAAGTGGATTGCCTGAGCCCGCGGGTTTGAGACCAAGCCTGGGCAACTTGGTGAGACCTCATCTCTACAATAAATCAAAAATTAACCGGTCATGGTACCATGCGCCTGTAGTTCTGGCTACTTGGAAGACTGAGGTGGAAGGATCACTGGAGCCTAGCAGGTTGATGCTGGAGTGGCCGTGAGTGTACCACTGCACTCCAGCCTGGGCAACTCCAACTCAAAAAAAAAAAAGAAAGTGGCTGAAATATCTTGCCTATTTTTGATGAAGATTTAAATAGAGTTGGGAAACCCTTTGTTTCCAAAGCACACCATAGTCATATTTTGTGTGTATGTGTGTGTGCATTTTTTAATAAGCATACCTGTATATATTTATTTACTCTGAGGTCTTTGCGTAGTTAACAGGCTCAAGCAAGTGCAGTATTTCTGCCATCTGTGCTGATTTTGCCTCAGGTAGAAGGCTATATTTTACAGACAAGTTTAAGTTAGCGATAGCATATTCTACTTGGTAACCTCCAGCTTTAAGTGTTTATGTATAATCCATCAATAAATAATATTGGGTCAGGATTTTCAATGTGGGTCCTTAAAAAAAACTGAGTAAAATATAGAAAGTTCTCTAAATGAGGTAAGAAAATTGTGATGGCTCTTTCTTCTGGTAGGGGCAGGAGAGTAGCAAAAAGCAGGATGTTCCAGTAGTGAATGGTAATGTGAGGTGGGAGAATAATAGAATCTCATGAGAGTTTAATTGCTAGCTAAAAAAATATTGTGTGTTCTCAGGTCGCAACAATGTCTGCAACACACTAAGAACCATGATATTAAGAGGGAAGTATGTAACTGGTTCAACAGAAGCAGTAGGTTTTGAAGTGGCAGCTATGCTCTTAGACAAGAGGACTAAGCCTTGGCAATCAGGTCAAGGTGATGAGTTTTTGATGATTCCCATGAAGTTGAGTTACAACTCTAAGTGCTTTTCCAGATTGCTTATGCACAGATAGACAAAAAGGCTTTTACTTGGGGATGCGTATGGAAGGCGTCTGTTGACAAGCCTTCTTCAAATTACAGAAGGCCTGTTCATGATTTAGACTAAGGTTGTCACCATCTCAGGAACATTTGACATTCATTGTTTGTAATATTCAATTAATCCTAGCAAGCCTCTCAATTGTTTTGGGAGGAGTTAAAAATGGTTTTATAGTCCTTAGACTCTCAGAAGACAGTGATTTTCCTCTAGAGATTTCGCCCTCAATAATGGATTATGTTTTGGCAAAAGTATAATTTGTCTTTTGAAACTTTATGTCTCTTTTTTTGCTAAGGCTGAAAGCAAGTAATTTGAGACCTTTTTACAAGCTTCCTTGTTCTCTGAACAAAGTAAGAGAACATATACATATCGTATGAGAATTGAATCACAAGGGAAATGTGGGCCTTTTAAGTCTTGATTGAGGACTAGGAAAAATAGAAGGGGTCCTCCATGAATGTCTGGGGCATGACTATCCAAGTATACCGTTGTCTTTTCCAGGTGAAGAAAACAAGGAAAAATTGAGTGTGAAAAGGGAAACGCTTCAGGCATATTTTGATTGGAAGTTGTTGATGGGAAACTGTAAGCAGGCTGATTAGAAGTAGAGGTTTTATGTAATTAGTTTTAAAAGTATTTGTTTATTTCTGGTTGGTTCTGAGTTGGAAGCAACGGTAAAAAAATAGGGAAACTGGCAGCCATTGACCAAGTCCTAACCATTTTGGCCTGACTGCTACATAGGTTATGATTTGACTTCCTCAGATGGTTATAGTAGAGATCATGCACCAGAGTTTTGTTGTCATAGATGTCCTGTTCCTTGTCTGTTTGTATATTCTGTATCTCATCTTTTTGTCTCTTGTAACTCTTCTCATAAAATTTGTTTCTAACTACATCTAGAAATAATTTGAAAAATAATTGATACCTGAACTTAGATTTTTGCCAAGAGGCAACAGAAAACAATATTTTGTTTAACAAACTGCTGGCAGAAAATGTGGACTTTTCAATTCTACTAGAGTTAATTTTGTCTCTGTAATTGTTTGTGTTGTTGCAGAGGATCTTAATGATTTAAGAATGGAGGGAGTAACAACCCTGGTACCTTCTGGGAGCAAATTTAACCAAGGCCGTCCTACTCATCCTGCTGAGCCTCAGGCCAAGGTCACACTGAACATCTGTTCAAGGTGTGCCAGGTAAAACACATAATAGGTATAGTATATGTAAATATGATCTTAAATTTTAAAATATAACATTTTGATGCAAAGATTGTATTCCTCTGTGTTAAGAAAATCTTTTCCTTCTAGTGATCTTTTGTGCTAACATTGGCAAGGGTGTTAGTTATGCAATTTATCCTGTGCTCAATGCCACTCAGACCACAGCTTGAGACTATTTTCCGTCTTCTGTCTCTGAATTTCATTTGCTGTCTACTGTCCTGTTCCCTTTCAAAGGAAGATTCAAGGGTCTCTGAATGTCCTAAGCCACTTTAAAGTACCTACACAAAGGAAGAGTTTGCCCAGGTACCGTTTAAGATCTGATATTATTGGCCTCTTAACCTGCACCTCATCCTACCCACCTCCCGGAAAGACTTTAATCAGCTTGACGCTTTTCAGTTTTGGCAGCTGGAAGCAATCTTTGCATATACTGTATGTGGCCAAAGAAGTAGCTTGTAGTTACTGCCAAGTCAGTTCCCAGTGTTGGTCTAGCAGAAACTCACCAAATAGTTAGAATTCATTCTTTTGTAGAAACTAAATCTCATTTGCAAAGAGGTTTTTAAGCCTGTTTAAATGATAAAACAAGTCTTTTAACCCTTATGTAAATGGTCCAGATTAGCAAGAACAATGCGCTGACTGGCCAATTTTATCTCCTTTTCTTTATGTCTGGCTGTTCTATTGTACTGTTTGAGAGGAGATTAGCTGCTGGGAAATGGGGAGGGAGTAAATTGTAGGAAAATGAAACCAGATTTTTTTGTAGCTTTTCCTTTTTTTAGCTTTACCCCTTTGGAAGTTTTATTTTAATTTTCACAGGCTTAGAAACATAGAAAAGACAGCTCTTAGAACTATTAGGGGATATTATTTGAGGCCATTAAGAGAAATGCCATAGCATAGTGAAAACACGAATGGAAACATTGCTTCAGACAAGAAATATTTGGTGAATTGAATTTTTAATAGTGTTGAAAAATTTCTAACAGTTATGTGATAACTTTTAGGCATCCAGAGTGAATAAGGTCATCTATGGAAGAGTTATTGGACATTTTATTTTAAACTTTGTAGTATATCTGTACATTCACGTTCTGACTGGCAAAGGGTTAATGTTTGGGCCTTTATATCATTTGTAGAAGATTGAGATCTGAGGGGGTTTTTTTTGTTGTTGTTTGCTTTTGTTTTGTTTTGTTTGAGAGGGAAAATCTATGAAAATAGTGTTTTACTAAACTATTGAAGATTTGAATTGAAAAAGAACCAAGCACATTTGTAGCCCTAAATTATCATTCGACTTCCCAATGATAGAGTTAGACTGTAAGTCACAAAAACCCCTGTATTTTAAGTGAACCATTCATGAAATTTTTCAAGAAATATTCAACTGAATAATTATGGTGACAAGTATTTCATTCATGCTATATGCTATCCTAAGCACATTAAATGTGTAAACTCATTTAATTTACAGATAATTCTGAGGATAATTACTCCAACTATTCCTATTTTATAGATAAGGAAAAGGCACGAGTTTGTTAAACAACTTGTCCAAAGTAACACAAACAGGAGGTGGCAAAATCCAATTTCAAACCCAGGCAGCCTATGTTGACAGTCTGGCAGTTAGTCATTTTGTTTTATTGTTAAGCACCAAGCTATTGTCTGAAGGTGAAGCTGAAGTTGGAGGCCCAAATTAGGTAAAGACAGTAAGATAAAAAGAGTTTCAAGTGTTTGCAATAATAAGAGTTTGTGACTATTGTGATGGAGAATAAGGCAATGTTGTACTTTCAAAAGCAGAAGAGAAATACATTGATTTATAGAAATGTGATAAATAATATGGAAGAAGACTCTTGCCTGGTCATTTTAGAGCAGCTGTTGTAGCTGGAGTTTACAGCAGAAGAAAACTAATATCAGTTGTCAAGAAATTTGAAGAACCTGAAATTTTACTGTATTTGTAACTTAATATGTTAGTCTGCAACTCTTTTATGCATGTTAACAGAAGACATGAAACTCCTGGGTCAGAGACCAAGAACTTTATTACAGCAATAACAATAACCAGAATATTAGTATCTTCACTTGTTCCCTTAGCCACAATTTTCACAGAGTGACACAAATAGTGCCGAAGGCTACATTTCATAAGAGGAACTTGAGCTTAGAGAACATGAATATTTTATAATGGGCTGTTAACATGCCTGGCTGTTGCTCTAGGGAGGACTTTCATATCTGTCCTCTAAGTTGTATGCTATACAGACATCCTTGAACAGATGATCTGAAACAAAGGCTGTCAATGTCTCAGAATATAAAAGATTCATAGAGAACTGTAACTGTAATAGATTTGTTACTCAATGACATGGCAAGTCAATACACCAAGTGACTGAGTTGCAATAGAAAAAATATAAACGTAGAATCACTGTTAGAACACAGTCTTAGTGGAACTTCCAAAAATGTTAGAGCACACTCCCAGTGGGACCTCCAGAATGTTAGGTCAGGCCCGCTGAGGGGTATGGGAATCTGGGGTGCAATCTGATGCCACATGAAAGATGCAACAAATTGCGCGAAAGTTAGATTAGAAATATTGCTTATTTAGAAAGTAATTTTGAGAAAGAAAGAGGAGATTCACCTCCCCAAAGTAGGCGAGAGGGCCAAAGCCAGAAAAATGGCCTGACCATGACTCAAAGAGCCCATGGTCACACCATAGCTTAACAAGGCAATGGCCTGGCAATGGCCATGGCAATGGCAAATGGTTGAGTCCTTTTAATCCTTCCCTTTGATGGGGGAAGGTCATTAAGGTGATTGAGTAGTGGTCTGCTCCATGTTATCATGAAGGGGCAGGTGAGTGCAAGAACTGCCGTCAAGTGATTGACAGCAGGCAGATGGGTAGGTTAGTCACAAGATTGCTGCCATGGTGGTGGGTAGGCTAGATGGGAGGAGACAAGGGGAAGGGTTTTTCCTGCAAGAGCCCTGTCAGACATTGACAATCCACAAGCTCTTTAGTAAAAGGGTGGTGTATTATCATTTCTATGACTTTGGTCAGCTAAGGGACCTGAAAGTTTCTTAGAGATTATTATGCTAAATCATGAAATGAATGGTTGGGCTGTCCTTATCTTGCATCTGATGGAGAGTTGCTTAGGGGCTTGGTAGGATGTCAACTTGGCCTGCAGTAAATATCTGATCACTTCCTAAAACCTGCCTATTGGAAATGTATCTATCTATGTCTAACCTGTGCCACATTCAAAGCATGTCAGTCTAAGCACAAATGACTGTGCTAAGGCAAAATATGAACTGAGTGTATTCTAAGTTTCTGGGTGTCCCTTCTTTCAATTACCAAATGAGACAATGAGCGGGAACCTCAAATCTGTCTCCCCATAGAAGTTGGAGTTAGGCTCATTAAGGGTTTTGGAGTAATACATTGATGTGGCTATTAAAGCTTTCCCTCATTAATTCTCCATTGCCAATTTATGTCAATGTACCACCTCTCTTAGTTGCAAGTAAGGCATTTAAGACAATGAGGATGATACTTTGGAAGCAGGGGCTGAGCAATTGAAGACAGAGGCTACAAGCTAGACCAATTGTAGTCCAATTATTTTATGCGTCCACACGATGCTTTAAAATACCACTGGATTAGTGTCTTAGTCCATTTGGACTACTATAACAAAAATATAAACAAGATGGCTCATACATGACAAACTTTAATTTCTCAAGTTTTGGAGGCTGAGAAGTCCAAGATCAAGCAGATTCAGTATCTTGTGAGGATCTACTTCCTCATAAATGGCTATCTTCTCCTAGTGTTCTCGCATGATAGAAGAGTGAGGGTGAGCTAGATCTCTGGAGTATCCTTTATATAGGCATTAATCTCTTTCGAGACCAGCCCAGACAACTTGGCAAGACCTCATCTCTACAAGAAATAAAACAGCCAGGTGTAGTAGTACGCACCTGTAGATCCAGCTACTTGGAAGACTGAGGCAGAAGGATCACCTGAGCCCAGCAGGTCGAGGCTGCGGTGGCAGTGAGCATACCACTGCACTCCAGCCTGGGTGACAGAATGAGACTCTAACTCAAAAAATAATAATAAATAAATAAATAAATAAAAGCACTAATCTCATTCAAGAGGGCTCCACCCTCATGATCTATGTACCTCCCAAAGGCTTTACCTGCTAATATCACCACAAAGGGGAATTAGGGTTCAACATATGAATGGGGGGAGAAGAGCACAGAAATTTTTACCATACCAATACCAATTAGTTACCAATTTTACATAAAATATTGGGATTTCTACCTTCTCTTAAAAATCAGTACAACTGACCAGGCTCGGTGGCTCAGCCTATAATCCCAGCACTTTGGGAAGCCGAGGCGAATGGATTGCCTGAGCCTGTGGGTTCGAGGCCAGCCCAGGGATCTTGGTGAGACCTCACCTCTACAATAAATCAAAAAATTAGCTGGGTGTGGTAGTGCACGCCTGTAGTTCTGGCTACTTGGAAGGCTGAGGCAGAAGGATTGCCAGAGCCCAGCAGGTTGACCCTGGGGTGGCTGTGAGTGTGCCACTGCACTCCAACCTGGGCAACAGAGTGAGACTCCAACTAAAAAAAAAAAAAATTCAGTGTAGCTGATAACATTGGGCCTACATTCTTAAATGATTTCACAATAGCAGCTTCTTCTTCCCTGTATCTTGCAACCAGCAGTCATGCTCCAGTACACCTCCATCTGTCTGCTACACCTCAGTCTGTCTGGTCAACTCACTAATTTACACTATCTGTTTAAAGTCCAGAGGCCCACATTTGGAACCTCTGATTTGTAGAAATGCTGTGTGGAGGAGGGAAGACTTTCTCTTTACCCTCTGAGGGTTTAATAATGGAGTCTATGAAATAAATTGACAAGCGGCAAATTGACAGGAGAAAAGATCTTCAAATTTATTATGAACACAGGGTAATGACAGGAAATAAAAAGGAACATCCAAAAACTCAGGGAAATTTAGGAGCCTGTATACCTTCTTCAAAGGGGGGGGGAAG